TTAAGGAAGGGAGGTAATATTCAAGGTTTTTTTTTACAACTCACACTTGTCCCAGTATGATAACTCTAGATAGATGTATGTATACATAATGTACATTCACAGATTTAAAACATCTTGGATAAGGACTATTGTTTATGTTTAGTTTTTTGTTCCTTTTTTTCTGTTTTGAGCGTCTTGAGCATTAGGAAAAGTCCCTTTTCAAATCACATGTATTATTATTATTATTATTATTATTATTATTATTATTATTATTATTATTATTATTATTATTATTATTATTGTATTATTAATATGGACTGTGGGCTCTCTGCAGGTGTTTGTCCCAGTGACTGTCGTACACCTAATTTACAATAGCTCCCTGGTTCAAATATTAAATATTATATCATATGCTTCCATACAGGTCAACCAATTTAACATTTAAATGGGATTGTAGTTCAGTAGTGGACCAGTGAGAGGGGGGGTCAAACTCAAATACACAGTGGGTCAAAATAAAAATTGGTCCTAGTCGAGGGCCGGACTGGTTCAATGTTTATTGCAGAACTTATTGAAATGAACTTATTGCACATATTAAACCTGGAACTAACAAAGCTTAAATTATTGCCTATAAAAACAACATTAAACATTAAATAATCAGTTGCATTCATTTCTTACGGCTCTATCTGCAGCTTTTCCAGAGTAATTTCTTATGAGTACATTTTTCCACAGGCCAACAACAGCTTCAACAAAACTATTTCCCTCAAAGAAAAACCAAACATGCCCTGTTGTCTCAAGAAACAAAGTGCAGAAGGAAACATCCATTAAACTCAGTGTGCTGCTCTGTGATGCTAGCTCAAGCCAGATACTTGGCATCTCATCTTGGGTGCATCAATGTTTGGGGTCAGGCTCTGAGATGAGGAGACCCTCAGGATTGAGTGAAGGTGTGCGTGCAATATATACCGGCGTGCCAGATCTAATAGTAATTAGAAATTATCCTGCGGGTCGAATCAAATCCACCAAGGGCCTGATTTGGCCCCCGGGCCTTGAGTTTAAAAAAGTTCATGTAAAACCCAGATTTGGCACAAAAAAAGGGGAATACACGTTTCGCAATTATGCCACATCAAGGTGGAACGCTCTTCCCACAACTGTAAAGGAAAGTAAAACTATACTTACCTTCAAAACCTCTCTTAAAGAGCACCTTCGGGGGAAAGCATTGCAAAACTGGCCCCGGTAATGGTACAAATCTCAACCTGTCGTACAATGGACAGCTTCCCCCCCCCATCTATGTATATACTCGCATTTTAGACTCTGTTACTAACTGTATATCTGTAGACTTGGTATGTCTTAAATGTCCGGTTAGGATGTATTAGAACGAAATCTAAAATGAAAATTGTAAATAAGCCATCTGTATGTAAAAAACCACCTGTATGTAAATTGTAAATAAGCCATCTGTATGTCAAAATGTCTTATATGTCTTAAATGATATGATGAATTGGAAATGGGGGACCCTGATGTAAACAAGACGAAAGTCTTTCTCTTGGTCTGCATCCCTTAACAATTGTATGTTTTGAGCTGTACTGTACTGTACCCAATATACAAGCTGTTAATAAACTTTTCAATCAATCAATCAATCAAGTTTGACACATGTGAGTTAGACCGACTGCTTTGTGCTGACAGTGTTTGGCCTGCAGGGGGCGCTACTGCTCTTCAGACATGGTGATCTTTCAATGGAAGAAAGGCAGTGAAAACCCTGAGAGGGGGGAGAAGATGCTATCATCTCGACACCAGTCGTTTTAAAATTGTGCCAGTTTTTTATGTTTTATAATAGTTTCTTTTATTTTGCATATTGACTGGTTAATGTGCCATTTCATTTGTGTTTAAACTTTTACAGCTGTATTCGTCGGCCTGTATTGTTTTGTGTCCATCTGTTGTAACTTTGTTCATGATGCCCTCTTGGCCAGGTCGCTCTTAACCCTTATGTTGTGTTCGGGTCTCCCGTGACCCGTTTCAAGTTAAAATTATATAATAGCTCTAGTTTTTTGTATCGGAACAACAAGGCTTCATGATATCCTCCACAACAGCTTTATAAACACTACAAAACTGATTTTGACCATTTTAGCCAAGTCGGAAGGTCTCTAAAAAAAAAAAGGTGTATCATTTGGTGTTGGGGTCTGTGAAGACCCAGCAGCATTGTTGTGGGTCACTCGGGTCAAATTTGGCCCAATCAAGATTCATCTTTGACTTTAGACACCCCACCCCCACCCCCTTCATCCACTGTAACAATACTTTTAAACTTGTATTCTAATAGTCTATTATAGTCAGATAACCACTGTCTTCACTATAGGAAATATAATGAGTGAGTGAATCACATGTTTTATTTTAAATATGTGGTGTAATGTTTTTTGGGGCCATAAAATAAAATTACAACAGGATTGTCCGGTTATGAATGCATAATAAAATTAGTTATGATGTAGTTAAACAATATTGGATGATAGTCATTCTTTTGGAGTGTTTTGGACTGAGATAAATCAGGGTCAAAATGGTGTTCGCGGTTCAAAATTGACCCGCAAACACCAGGAACGCCCGGTAACAGCTTTGTGAACACAACAGAAGGGGTAAAAAAATAGTTTTTCATCCCAAGGAGACTTTCACCTGGTTTCAGTATATATATATATATATATAATATATATATAATAGTATATATATATAATATATATATATATATATATATATATATATATATATAAATATATCTATATATATATATAATATATATATATATATCTATATATATATATATATATCTAATATATATATATATATATAGTTTGCAATATTTGATTTGATGATGTCCGTCTGATATATATATCAGACGGACATCATCATTTGAAGAATAATGTAATTTACCATTTTATTTGGAGAAGGATGCAGACAGGATTTCTTAGGTGCAGGTGTTGGTTGGCCTGCAGGTGGCGTCACTGCTCCTCAGACATGGTGAATTGAGAATAAAAATCCCTGAGAAGAAGAAAGTGTTGTAATTTGTAAACCAGTATGAACCAGGATGAAGGCCTAACACCAGCGGTGAGACTATGGCGTCCAGTCAGACAGTATAGTGCTCACGGAATAACGTTCAAATAAGATTTGGAGGAGGATTCATCAAGTCATTCAAGTAGGTTTGCAATAGAAAATGTTTAGTTGTGTGTGTTACTTCTCCACCAATTATCCCGCATGGTCGATATATTCCCAATAATACTGATCCAGGTTCCCTCTTTGTAAAAAAAAAAACATTGCTTTTATACGTTTCTATTATTTTCCTATACCAGTTGCCACAAACGAATTACCTCAAATGACAAACTGTCTACTACCTTACATTTCTCCCTGTATTGTCATGGTAAAATCAACTATAAGGATCCCGTAGTTTATCCAATAATGAGAAGTTAATTGAATAATTGGATTGAAACGTCAAATTGTATTTGTCATCTAAATTCCTGCACAAACGAATCATCGGATATCTGTCAGATGAAAACTGGCCTGCTGGCTGTTTGTAAAATACTGTCTTCTTCCTTTTAAAAATATAATATTTGATTGCCTTGTCAAAGTCTGACCACCGCTAGATTCTGTATATATTCTGCATACACTGCAACATTGAGCCTATTATTTAGCAGTGTTGCTGATGAAATAAAATAAAATATGTCTCTGTCCGTCTTCTAGCCTTAAACAAATATATTTGTATTACAAATGTTAACGTAAGCATTCTTTTATGAAGTGCCAAACAAACACCAAAGACAATATGTGTGCAATATGTTGCTTGACTCAGGTCCAACAATATGTGTAACACTAACTCCAAATTGGATCAGTCTTTTAAAAATGTGTCGATATAATTGAGATTCTATATAATGCAGATTATTTATTTGTAATTGTATTTAGTATACACGTCATGCATTCAGGAAAGTAGTGCATATTTCTTTTTTACTTTCTACCTGTTTATATATTATTTAAATAAGAAATCAGATTATAATCTCAATAAATGTTCATTATTTTAAACGCGTGCCCCTATGTCCATTATGTATCAGTACACACTTGCAAGTATGCTTGTTGAGATTTGCTTTGTAAATAAATAATAGCGTTTCTTTTATAAGAAAGTGAAAGTTTTACCAACAACAGCAAAAATAATTCTGACACATCTGGAAGGATTTCAGTTTGATCAATGTTGATGCGTCCTGCATACTTAATTTATCAGGGAATACGTGCAAGCATGCTTGTTTAGATGTGTAAATAGTAGAGTTTCATCAGAAAGTGACATTTTTATATCTAGAAGGATTTAAGTTTGTGCCATGTTGATGCTTCCCGCACAAATGAAAATGTGTTTACTGTATGTGGGGTGTTATATTCTCATATGAGTCTCAGTCTCAACACACAAAGATAATACCTTTCGTTTTTCTTTAAAATAACATTTATTTCCAGCATATTCATACATGTGACAGCACAGCTTGTAACATTTGAAGATGAACTGACTTGATCCAGCACTTGGTCACAAAATATTTAAGGCTGACTAAAGGATAAATGAAAAGTCAAATATAGCGTTTACCAAATGCATTATATAATACAGGCAGTTGGAAATGAACTAAACAAATATAGGTGAGATAAGTGAAATAATAAGAAAAGAAAAGGATGGCATTTACACATCATTAGTTCAGTACATCAGGAAACAGGGTTAACATCAGTAATCTACATGTTATAATAACTTAATTTTGCCTCGTTTAATATTCCATATGTGTGTGAGAGAGAAATGCATATTTAAAGTACATCATTTGCACTTCAGTTTCACCAGCTGAAAATGTGACTATCTGATACATCATTTCTTCGTAGAATTATTTTAAATCCTGCAGAAATGACATTAAAATCAGAAATAAAACTGTGTTTATTTTCTGTTTTACTTTACCAGCTTCATTGTGGTTTATTCTGGATTTTTATAAATATCTTTTTAGCTTTAATTAATCGTGGGGAATGTCATCCAAACATATAAAATCCTTTTGGAAAATGACACATAGTTTTCCTCTCTCAGACCATTTGACTACAGCCAGATAATCCTATATTTACAGCAGCCTGCAGCCAAAAAAAAAAAACCACATCACAGAGTTTCTCTCCAGGACCATTCAACACTTGTGGATACAGACACACCGCACCTAACACCATTGACTTTAATTAAAGGTATTATGTTAACAGATTTCACTTAACTGTATTAGGTTAATTGTACACAGCTACATGGGTGCAATGAAACACAGGTTCCTCCAACAATACAACATAAATATATATAAGAAATATCAAGTTTCAACTTAATTATTTTCAACTAACCTAATACAGTTATGTGACATTTGTTGACTTCATACATGTAATTAGAGTTTCCGTTTTTTCAGTGCAGCGAGTCTCTGAGATCAGTCCGCCTCGCCTCACTGTTTCTCCGGCCTCGTGTTGTTGACCAGAGGCCCGTACAGACCGCTAGGGTAGCCCTGCTCCTTGTGCAACACTTGTCCTGTCTCTTATCAGTCGCGAAGGCATAGTCCATCGGGGGTCTGAAGCCCAGGGTGGGCATCAGGCCGGTGGAGTACGGCGTCAATGAAGGCCAATCCCCAGGCTTGTGCGCGGAGTAGTAGGCGGAAGCCCTCAGCGGGTTCAGACCCAGAGTTACCAGAGGATAGGTGCTGGGTCGGAGAAGTGTGGAGAGTCTCGGCTGGCAGAGGAGAGAAGCTGATCGGTTGCTTAGCGTCATGGCACCGGGGAGCATGGGCCTCGGAACCCCGGTAGAAGAGTTGCTGGAGCTGCTGCGCGCTTTGGAGCACTCTCTCCGCCGTCCACGCCCCTTCTGCGGGACGGCCTTGTATGGAGTATTGTGCGCCCCCCCGCTGTTGTTGAGGATCTGCTCGATGGCCTGCACCACGTCCTTCCCGCAGCCCTGCAGACACGAGCTCCAGCACGCTCCTCTTGTGGCTCGGGACACCCGGTCAGGATGTCGGATGGATTTCATAGTGCCGGGAGCCAGCGGAGGACGGAGAGGCCTCCTGCTCGTCTTTGTCGGTTCAGAGCCGGAGTCTGAGCCGAGGGAGCTGACGGAGCGAGGAGTTTCCCCGCCGTCTTTCCGAGGTTTGGACACCGGGGAGCTGATGAAGGACTCGCTGTCTCCGTTCTACTGAACCGGAGCCTCCGTGCCGGCCGTCCGGGGAGGAGATGCCCGGCGCAGAGTCACTCTCTGTGGAGGCTGGTTTCCCCAGAATCAGCTGAGAGGCTGCGGAGCTCTGGCTCTTTGTTAAACAGCTCATACTTCTGGATACCTGAATCTGTTGACACAAGCAGAACATCACCAGTGTGAGATGGGGGATAACATGCCAACATGTACACTTACATGGGAAACATTTGATCGCAACCAGATAATTAATCAGCGAAAGATGTCCCATTTTAGGAAATAAAAAAGCTAAATCAAACAGGACTTTAAAGAGGCAGCAATGTGCACTATCAATATAAGGTTATTATAATTCAACACAACAGCTCGTAACTGGACCAGTTTCTGCCGAAACTAAAAATCACTACATTTAATATGCACAGAAAAAAAACACTATTAACAAATCTTGTCTTTGACAAGCAATTTGCAAGGTCACCAAAAAATCAAATCAATTAAATATAAATAGGCAGGAACATCATCATATTTAGGCCTTTACTCACAACTGTATCTCAATTTATTTTGGCTCTTACTGTGCCCTGTGTTTTAACGTGCTTTCACACCTGTAGTGCGGAGGTTTTACACAAAAACTATGCCCTTCTTATGCTTCCACATTGATGCGTAAATGCTCACCTGAGTTGCTCTCGCGCTCATGGAGGTGAACACCTCGTAGTTGGGTCGCGGCGGGATGATGCCATTAGCCGCCGCCAGAGCCAGTCCACTCCGCGGTGCCGTGAAAGCAATCTGCAGCTCGCGGGCCTCGTTCTCCTCCTGCGCCTGCTGCCAGCCTCAGCGCCACCTGCGCCGCCATCACGCGCTGCCGCTCCGCAATGAGCGTGCACTTTTGCGCACATGCAGTCCTTCCAGCGGCAGTAGCGCTTGTGGCCCTTGAGCGCGGACACGACCCCATTGGTTCCTGCAGCGCGCACACTTCGGGGTGCGTGGGTATTTTCGGAGGGCGCGCAGGATGAGAGGTGTGCCGCGCAGGGATGCTGTTTGCTAAGGACACCGGGGATGGAGGCTGCCGCGGCCCGCCGCCTACCGCTCCGGGATGCATTTGAGACACGGAGGAGATTGAGGGATGCTCCGAATCTCAGATCCATGATTGTTAGTGAACTAAAAAAATTAAGAAAAGTTGCGCTCTTCTGTACGATCGTGCTATTAGGTGTTTCTAGTTCAGGACGCTCACCATCTGCTCTGCGCTGCCGTCATGTCGAGGCAACAGGTGAAGGTTACTGAGAATAGAGTAAAAACTATGATCGTAATGCAAACCTGTTCAAAGAAGTCTGCAGAAGAAGAAAAGTGAAAGTAACAAAACTGCTTTCTTCTGGATCGATCTGTTTTAGGTTTACTCTATCGCACAACTCAGATCAACAAGTCTATACTGATAATCGAGCAAAATGAATCGAAATGTAACTGTTCAAAAGGACGCTGCAGCAGTGAGAAGAAGTCAAATATGAAGATACTGTGGAGTTATATCCAGGAGCGAGAAAGCAGCGACCATTCCTGCGCGCGGAGAGTGTAAAGTGTCCGCGAGGATCTGCAGCCCGAGACACTAACTTCCTCCAGAGACTGTCCAGTGGATTACAGTCATACCCCCCCACCCCCCTCTCTCCCCCCCCCCCCCCCCCCCCCCCCCTCCGTCTCTCTCTATTGTTGCTCCTACGTTTCATTAGACAAATTTGACAACAATGTGGCGCCTGTCATTGGCCAAAGGGAAAGGAGCAATCTGATTGGCTTGCTCCTTTTTTTTTTTTTTAACTGTGTCCACCTGAGTTCTTATTTCCAAATATCAAGTGTTAAGAATCTGAAAGGAGTTCCCGGAAGCTAAAAATCGATGCTGTGTATTTCCCCAAAAGATGTAATAGATTTTAAACAATGGCCTGTTTCCCCAAGCCTTTCTCACGGGGCGATATGCAGACAAATAGGACACGTACAAAATAACTAAATAGCCCTAAAATTAAGAGAAATTCTCATCCTTGTGAATATCTTTCAGCAGTATTTATTCTTTAGAAATGTTCTGTATCATGGCGACATTATTGTAAGTGTCCATAGTGTGTTTTCTGCTCCTATTGGCAGGAATAAGATTTATTCCACTCAAAATAAAGATGATTCCTCGTCCACCTGGGACGGTAAGTATCTTTTATTTTATTGATTCAAGAAGAAGCGAAATGTGATCGTTTACAAAAAGGTATGTGTGCAGACAGTTATTGACTAAAGCTGTCGATGGAGTTCAATTGTTCATTTTCTCGGCTCGGCTGAACTCCGGACTGTTTAACCCTGCACACATTATTACACATTATTACATCTATTTAAATTAGTTAATAAAATGCACTTTTTACATTTTCTTCCAAGGCTTTTGAGTAGAAAACAAAAACCCCATCGTACGATTTCGTTTACGTTGTATCCAAAATAATATATAGGCTAAATGTTTTCAATATGTGTAAATATAATTTTGGATATAGCTTAAAGGACATAATTAACGTTAATTGAGTCATGGTTTTACTGAACATGCCAAACAGGTTTTTTTTTGTGTTTTTATTATACTTCAAATGTGACAATGCGTTAAAACAAACGGATCAATAATATCGATTTTTTGCTTTGGTTCTGTTTTTTTTTTTAACAGTATAGCATATTTCGATGTTCCTTAAATCAGTCTAACCCTCCATGCCAACTAATAAAAATATGTTTTTTTAATAACTGTATTTGATCCGCTTTTATAAACACACAGTGTATGGGGTTTACAGGTTTAATTAGCACATTAATCAATAATTACAGAAATAAAATAAACATTTCTAATAGTTTAATTATTTACAAATGTATATATTTTTATATTGACGTCCTCGAAATAATTGTGTGTTAATGTTTTTCAATTATTATGATTAAAGTTATAATCACACTATTAGCCCATTAAATAAATACAATTGGAAATTAAAATATGTTATAACTATTATTATTTAGTATATTTGTTGCAATTATTATGACCAACATAAACAAATTCTAATTAAATTAAGGTGTCTCCTGCTGTCCACTGGAATAATTGAGGGAACATAATAAAACAATTAAAAATAATGGCCTAGTTATTTTATTATCGGAAATATTAGCTGTGTGCAGAAAGCGTTTTCTCCATGCCCAGCTCCATCTTTTCACTTCTTAATTCCTAACTGAGTGGGGTTTTTCTTTAACCCTCTGTCTATGATTAAACCGGGTTTCGGTGCACGTCATGCTCCCTGTTTCAGAGACTAACGGGGATTCGGTGATGCTGCAGAGATTCAGAAGGAGGGCAGCTCCGGAACACGCTGCTTCCTCACCTGTTCATGAAGCATGCAGCCATTTCTATTCAGATTAAACCGTTATAGATTCCTTCAACAACTCAATCAACAATTGTCTGTCCCCTTGGAGGATGGAAACAACAGTCTAAGCGAAGAAGACGAAGAGGAGGAGGAAGAAGAAGAAGAAGAAGGTGCTGCAGAGAGAAATGGCTGGTGTGTGTGTGTGTGCTGTGTGTGTGTGTGTGTGTGTGTGTGTGTGTGTGTGTGTGTGTGTGTGTGTGTGTGGTGTGTGTGCTGTGTGTGTGTGTGTGTGTGGTGTGTGTGTGTGTGTGTGTGTGTGTGTGTGTGTGTGTGTGTGTGTGTGGTGTGTGTGTGTGTGTGGTGTGTGTGTGTGTGTGTGTGTGTGTGTGTGTGTGTGTGTGTGTGGTGGTGTACCCTGCCTCTCTCCCGGATCTTTGTTTACTTTCTGAATCACTGTAAGCAAATGCCATCTGTTTCCCTCGCGCTGTCATCTGCACCTTAATTACCTGCCAACAGGCTAATAGAGACGATATTAAAACTACATCTTTCTGACATTCAAAGTAATTATCTGCGTGAGCGAGGATCTCATCGGATAAAAAAAAAAAAAGCTTGGACTGCAGTGATAGTTGCAAACTGCAGAGAGGGACCTGCAGGGATTATGTGCTATCATCCAAGAAGGAAAGATTTAAAAATAAAACAGGAAGCACTTCTCATTAGTCTGAGAAGGTGCTGCATGGCTGAGAGAAAACAAGAGAAGAATCCTGTAGAGAAAGCTGATTCATCGTCAATTTAACCCAAAATATTGGATTTAAAGTGACAATTATGTGTGTTTTTGGAGACCTATTAGGGCTCTGTGTTTAATATAATCACAATTTAATTAATTCTAACGGTGCTTTAAATGAACCCTGACTCCCAGAGGTAGGCCTACTTAGTTAATAATGTTGAGGTACTTTGACTTTTGGAGTATTTCCATTTTATGCCACTTACTTGTACTCCACTACATTTAAAAGGGAAATAATGTCATTTTACTCCACTGTGTATTTAACAGCTTTATTTTAACAAAACGCATTTTACAGAAACTCATTCGGAACTTGGTTTGTCTACAGCAGTACAATGATACTTGATGCTACAATATTATCTAGAAATGTCGCACATATAACACCAAATATGGAAAATTATAACTTTTACGAGTAAGATTTTGAATGCAGGCTTTTACTTGTAATGAAGTATTTTGACTATAATGTATTCTTAAAGTAAAACCTCTGAATACTTCAGCATGTAACTCTGCATTATCTTGGCTGCATTGAATCGTATAGTTTATCTGCAGCCCATTCATCGCTGCACTCATAACGGAAAAAGTGTGAAAAATATGCATATGATAGGGAATTAAATCCACTATTATTCCTCCTGGCCCAATTAAAAATGCCCCCCCGCGCCCAATTAAAAGTGACTGTGAGCACTTAGAAAACCCAACATTCTTCTACCACTTCATTAGGCCTATGCATCAAAAAAGCCCTCCGCCATGCTTTCAGTTCTTTCAGCCGAGTGGGTTTTTAACGCCCTTTTAAGATCACAACAAAGGCTATGCTTGACCCAACATATGTAGCAGCATGTTTCCTCTGGCCCGGCTCTGTGCCCCGGCTGAAGGCCCCGGATCCCGGGTCCCCTCCCGGTGCTCCCCCGCTGCAGCAGCCGGCTCAGAGGTTAGAGTAGCAGTTAGACAAGCAGCGTTTCACTGGAGCATTTACACGCTTCAGAGGGGCTGCTAACCTGCCACTTCACACATTAAGGCATTCCTGCAAGACCAGAGTCAGGGCAGCACACACCAGTTACACAAAGCTCTGCAGAGAGGGGAAGCATATTATGGGATTTAAAAGACAGGATACTATAATGTGCACACTATTATTCTCCATAAAATAATGTCATCATTTATTTGCAATCATACTCGAAGATAACCTTATTGAAGGCTTACCAATATTTCCAAATATTATTTTCCAACCACATAGTCTAAATACTTAAATTGCAATATTTGAGGTGTTTAGGACCTTATGTTAGGGTATTATAATACCATATAATCTACTTACACACACATTGTCAACATCTAAACAAATTGTGTATGAGAACAACTGATGGAAAATTAAGATTAAGCGATAGCAGAAAGTACAAAATATGCAGTAAAAAGTCATATTGAGTGAGTCATATTATGGGATTTAATGACAGGATACCGTAATGTGCACACTATTATTCACCATAACATAAGGTGATAATTGATTTGCAATCATATTGGGCGATTACATTATTGATTTGCTATTATTTTCCAACCAATTGCATTCGTATGAAGTAATTAGGACCTTATTTTAGGCTATTATATAATGAGCAGACTATTATTTTGACACCATATCATCTACTACTTACACACGCATTTCTGGCCATTTGCAACCACATATTGAATTGCAATCGTGTGAGGTAATGAGGACCTTATTTTAGGCTATATTATAATAAGCACACTAATATTTTCTACCTTATAATCCATTTACACAACATTTAAACTAATAGTGCATGAGAACAACTGATGGAAAATGAAGATTAAGCGGTACCAGAAAGTTAAAATAATAATAATAATAATATGACCTTATTGGAGACTATATGTCCTGTAAATATATAGCAATATATTAACAATAACAACACAATGCACTTAAAATGTAAAAAGTTATATGAATGAACATTTTGCCTTTGAGACTAGATTATTAAAGGTTGTTTAAAC